TCCAACCCAAACCATTCAATGATTCTCTGTGTGCAGCTGACCATTACAGCACACTTGCAGGACCCATAACATTGTAATGTTCATGAGACTTTACATTGGCAAAGACAACCTCAAAAATGTATAGCAAAAAGAACTGAACCTAAGCATGAAGTGTAGTAGTGTCAGCAGCTATGAGCTGCAAATCAAAACTGTTGGTCAACAAAATTACTTACTATCCTCCCTGTTCATTATTTTTCTTTCAGACTAAATCAAGAAGAGAAGGCATGGTCACACTGGGAAGTCATGTCCATTCTAGTAAATAAGAAGTTACTATTTTGGGGAAAATTCCACCTAGTTTAGGTGGCTAACTTAAGACATGAAAGTCCCAAGCATTCCTGCAGAGACAATAAAAAGATAAACTACTCCAGATGTGGAGAACAAACTTAATTTAAACGCCTTCACTCTCTCTTCTCTATTGAAACAGACCCCACTTGAATGCATTATATTCATTCCCCTGCCCCCAGTTTGTGCTGGGAATCTGGTAAGTCACAAAGTTATTCTTTTGTAACTTTAGAATGCAGACATTATTTATGGGTCTCTGAAGGTACAGCAAATCCAAGAACTCTGTTGTATGCACATGTCCATATTCAGTCATCTGCACAGGCTACTATGAGTGACACCTTACTGGGCCATTTCTACAGGACGAGTGTTGGTCTAAGAAGCAGGACTTTCTCTGCCTACCATAACACCAAGATTCTGACAACTACTGACAGAGTTTCTGCCTTTCACTGACAGGTGAAGTCTATTATAAGAGAATTAAGTCCCTTCTCCAAGAAGAAAAATTGGTCTCTGAGTATCCCTATCAGGCACATATTTAAGATATTACCAGATGCACATACTGAAATTGTATCAGCAAATTAATTCCCAGGACACCTGCCAGAAATTTTTAATAGCAGTTGTAAATCTCCAAAAATGAAAAAAAAAAAATCAATATAAGCCAATAAAAATGTGCTTGAAAATAATTTGAGAGGAATTAACCACATATACTGGCCATGTATTTTCATTTTATTTTCAATGAATGTGAACTTTTTAATTTTAAGGTCACCTGGCATGGTGTCTACTTTATTTTCTTGTTTTCTAAATACTCTTGATGTAAAATAGGTCAAACAAAGAACTAAAGAAAACTAAAGATTTGGAAAGGAGATCCATTACGAAAAGGTGTGAAATAAAAAAAGGGGAAAAGACATCAGGATTAGACAAAAAGGTGCCCAGGAGTCTTTCCAATAAATCCAGATCATACACATTGGCTTTTCTGGTTGCCAAAATGACCCCTAGTGCTGGATGACAGTTACTCTATAGTAATTTGGTGTGCTGGTGTGAAGGACTAAATCAATTGCCGAGACTGGAAAGGATGGCACAGAAAAACCTAGCAAACACGGGAATTCAAAAAGTTACCAGGTCTTACTCTACTGTCAAGTTGTGGAATGTATTGTCCAATTTGGTGCTTTGTGAAACAGAGGAAGAATTGTCTTCCACATTACTTTTATAGCTGCTCTGAAAACTGAAAAGCTGGATTTGACAATACCACTCTGGCTGTTAAAAAACCTGGATCAAAGCGGGGGCAGAGAATTATTTCCCTAGGTTTAGCTCCACACAAGAAAAGATTTCTTTCCTCCAACAGGGCACTGCGAACACCAAAGTCCTCACCCAAAATTGTAGCTACAAATACAGGCAGAATTCAAATCCTATTAAATAAAGACAGGACAGAAAAATGCTTTAAACCATTTTAAGAAGTTAGTTTATTGACAATATATAATCCTGAATACAGATAATTATATTCTAGACAGGTAAAAGGTGTGGTAATGGAAGAACTCACCTACTTTCTGTTAAAATTTTTGTCAGTATGATACCAAAGGTAATTCCAAACTTCAAAGTCAACATTTCCATTATTATTATCACTGTATAAAATATTCATTTCTTTAACTAAAAACTGTTTGTGAAAATTTCTGCCTATGAATAATGTGATGTTTCATGCCACGCCCTGCCGCTCAACACACGGTCCAGCCAGGGAAGTCCATCAGCACTAGTGGGACTAGGTACTGACCCCGTCCCTGCCCCAGCAGCACCGCAGCAGCCTCCGCGCAGCAGCCACACCAGGATGCAAGGCCAGCTCCTCTACTCCCCCTCCTGGGAGGCCCGAAGTTCAGCTGCTGCCTTTCCTCACAGAGCATAACAGCCTGCTTTTTGCTCCAGAAATGAAGTACAGCCGAGCTGGATGGATTTTGCAAATGAAGGCAGGAGCTGGGAGGGGGCAGAGCTCATCATCCAGCTGCCTGCAGAAGGCAGCCCCACTGGGACTCCTCTCTCCCGTGCTGAGGAAGCTCAGGAGGCCCCAGGCCACGACCCTGCTCCATTGCAACCCCCTCTCTCAGACTCTCTTATGTCTGGAACATCCCGACATCCAGACCCTCTTCCCTCCAGTGGCATCGTGGGGAATTTTCCCTAGGAACCAGTCAGGGCAGCAGTACATTGAACAGCACCTGCAATGTCATTTTCAACTGAGACACCCAAAACTAGCTGATTTCCACCAATAACAGTGGTGTGATCAGATAACAGAGCAACAAAGCAATGCATGAACAATCCCAGTGTAGATAGCAATTTACATTTACTACAACCTGCATGAATGGCATCTGGCATTTTAATACCACTATTCAACAAGAATTAAAAGAAACAGCTCTAAACTAGGCGGATGGAGGCAGGGTTTCTAAATACAGTTTTTCAGATTTAAAAACACAGTTTTTATACAAGAATAGGCAAAACTATACTGAAGGAGAAACACAAGCAGCTTGTAAAACTGATGACAATGGAGCAAGCCCTTATGAATGCTTCTCAACCCATCAATCATACTGACTCCCAGCCACACCACACCACCATTCCACAGTCTACGCACTTTGAGACAGGCATGATTTTACACCACATGGGATTCCAAGATCCCCGAGTTTCTGGAAAATAGATTTTGTCCCAGTTTTTGTGACAGATGGAGTTGATAGTCTCAGGATGAAAAAAGCGCCAGTTTTGACAGGCAGCAGATACCGATGCCCCTTGTGGTTGGAGACGATGTTGCTCCGGAATTAAGGTAGCACGGAAACGAAAGGCAGTGGGTAAATGCACGACTACTTTGTTATGCTCCTCTCCTAGTGCCTTAATATTTTTGCTTCTACTTCCTTATAAATTGAAAGTGTAATAAGAAGGCAGAACTTCAGCAGGGCAGTTCGCTTTCAATTAAAACTAATAACAGATTTTTTGAGACATTTTACTCGTTGGCAGATCAAGTATCAAAGAATTACACTGGGAACTACTGTAGTTCTGCCAACAGGCACCCTCGTAAGTCAGTGTCTTAAAACCTGCTCAAAAATCTCAGGCGAGAAGCTGAGCTGAATGACTTTAAAATCGGGGGGTATGTGGCAAGTGGAAAGTTGTAATACTGAAACTACAGCAAAGGAGTACTTACATGGTCGCACTACACCACTAGTGGGTTAGCTTTGCTCTGCCGGAGAGTACTAGCACACTGAAACCAGGACCTCTGTTTCTACTTCAGTAAGAACAAAGTCGGTCCCACTTTGAGCCTAATCCTCTTTGCCGTTCTGGCAGCGGCTCTGCCCCCACTTGAATCACCGGGAAGTTTGGGTACACGCGTTACCCGAGCTAGAGAAGCTGGTTTTCCCCTCCTTGTGGTAGGGAACAGGACCAGTGAGAGTGCCATGCCCGCGACACGGGCGCGGAGAGCGGAGAGCCTGCCTTGCCGCCCGATCCCAGCGCGGTGCTGCCGAGCCCCCGCGGGCGCCGCCGCCGCTCAGCGCCTCTCGCCCGGCCGCCGCGCCGCCTTAACGGGAGGAGGGGCTCCTCGGGGGGCTGTCACTCTCCTTAAGCCTTTCCTTTCAAGCTTTGAATGTGAGCTGCCCTCCAGCCCCCCTCTCTCTTCCCTCCCTCCAGCACATCGTAAAGAGAAGGAGGGAAAAAAAAAAAGAAAAAAAAGGTTTCAACAACAGGCTGGGCCAATGGCAAGTGGCGAGGCAGGGAAAGGGGGCCGAGCGAAGGGAGAAAAAGTGGAGAAAGGGAGAAAGAGAGCGAGAAAGCGCAGGCTGGGGGGGTTGTGTAAAAGAAGAAGCGTTGCTAATTTTTTTTGTTTGTTTGCTTTTCCATGCATGCATAATGAAGCCTAATCAGAGCACGTTGCTGCTGCTTGGAGGGCACTTTTGTATTTAAAGCCTTGCAAAGAAAAAAAGATCCACAGACGGATCCACAGAGCAGCTTGCAGGGCTTGTTGACAACAGAAGCAGCATCAGTCGCCCGGAGAGAAAGAGACCGCGAAGGCTGACTCTTCTCCTTTCCCAGTGCTCTCGTCTTGGTAGCGAGGAAAGACATTTCTTCTCCGCGCCATCCGAAAGCGTGATCCGAACCGAGAGGGAGTGAGCGGAGCCGGGACTGTGAATGGGATCGGAGCGGCTGGCATGTGCAGAGATGCTGCGAGCGGAGAGTTAAAAGCTCCCGAGGAGGCAGCAGCAGCAGCTGGGCATTTATTTTGTGGGGGAAAAAATAAAAAAGAGAGAAACGGAACTGCATGAAGAGCAGTACAGCACCATGAGCTCCCCCGGCGCAGCTTGCGATTCCCCGAGCGCACTACGGATCCGCTGTCGTCCGACCCCCGGTTTGCACTGACTCCCTGCACCTCCCCGGGCGCCTTCGCCGCCGCCTCGCCGAGCCCGGAGCAGCGGGTGGGGGACACGGGAAGGCCCCCGGGCGCCTACTTCGTACCGCCGCCCCGCCGGCTTCAGCTCCCGGGGGCTAGAGAGCCCCGGGCCCGGCGCGCATGGATTGATGCGAGGAGACCTCATGCACACGGCCGGCGGGAGTTTTGGAAACTTTTCCACGGGCGGCAGCTCCTTCTCCTCCTCCTCCTCCTCGTCCACCAGCGCCTCTTCCCAGCTCGCCCGCGGCTGCAGCCAATCCCCCCGTCCGCGATGGTGGCCCGCTCGCCCGCTCGGCACGGAGGCGGCGGCCGGCGCTGGCCGCGGGCGGCCGCCTGGCTGTGGCTGGCGGTGGCGCTGGGCGCCGTGTGGCCGCCTCGGGGCTCGCTGGTGCAGGGCCGGCGGCTGATCTGCTGGCAGGCGGTGCTGCAGTGTCAGGGGGAGCCCGAGTGCAGCTACGCCTACAACCAGTACGCCGAGGCGTGCGCCCCGGTGCTCCTGCAGCAGCAGCCGCCGCCGGCGGGCGGAGGGGACGGCCCGCCGAGCGCAGCAGGCGCGGCCGCCTCGTCCAGGCGGCGGTGCCCCAGCCACTGCATCGCGGCGCTCATCCAGCTCAACCACACCCGGCGTGGCCCGGCGCTGGAGGACTGCGACTGCGCGCAGGACGAGAACTGCCGCGCCACCAAGCGCGCCATCGAGCCCTGCCTACCCCGCACCAGCAGCCCCACGGGCGGCGGCCCCGGCGGCGGCGGCCCCGGCGGCCCCGGCGTCATGGGCTGCACGGAGGCGCGGCGGCGCTGCGACTGGGACAGCCGCTGCAGCCTGGCGCTGAACCGCTACATGACCTACTGCGGGAAGCTGTTCAACGGACTGCGCTGCACGCCCGAGTGCCGCGCTGTCATCGAGGACATGCTGGCCGTGCCCAAGGCCGTGCTGCTCAACGACTGCGTCTGCGACGGCCTGGAGCGGCCCATCTGCGAGTCGGTCAAGGAGAACATGGCCCGCCTCTGCTTCGGCACCGACATGGGCGGCAACGGCGCGGGCAGCAGCGGCGGCTCGGACGGCGGCCTGGAGGAGTACTACGACGAGGACTACGAGGAGGAGCCGAGCCAGAAGGGGAGGGACGACGTGGAGGACAATGCGGGCGCCGAGCCCGGCTTCCCCGTGCAGGCAGATAACGCTGGCCGGCCCGCCGGGGCGGCTGGAGCGCTGCTCGCCTCCATCTTGGTGCCGCTGCTGCCGCGGCTCTAGCATCCCTCCCTTCCCGCACCCCTCCTGCCTGCCTGCTTCCCATCGCTGCCTCCCTCCCTAACTGCCTCCCTCCGCACCCCTATCCCCTTCGCCGGGCCGGGCCGGGCCGGGCCAGGCCCCCCGCGCCGAGCCGCCGCGGGCCTCTAGTCGAGCCCTCCCGCGGCGGCCGGGGATCCGGCCGGCGGGGCCCCTCGGCGCGGAGCGGCTTTACACGCTCTGGCCGCGGATTCCCCGACCCATCGCCCCGGCGCCCCGTCCCCTCGCGTCTCCCGCTCTGCCTCCGCTGCTGCGCGCAGCCCACCCCTTTCCCCAGCCCGGCGCTGCGAGCCGGCCGCTGGGGCGGTGGCCGGAGCGCAGGGGCCGCTCGTGTTTCGGGTGTTGGTCTCGAGTGTGCACTATGCAATTGCTGCCACCCTGCCTTCGTGTTACTAGCGAGCGGAGCGGCTGACAGAGACTGCGGGTGAGGCCGCTAGCCGCCCCCCGGTACAACCCGGGATTTGTGGCATGCTGGTACTGGAGGTCTTTAAGAGTTTTGACATGAAGGTTAGTAAGAGGTGAGCAACCCAAACTTGCTGCCAAAGCGTTGCCGTACTTAGTTAGTCAGCAACTTGATTATCATTAGCCGCATCTCGCTCTTCTGATGCAGTTGTGCCCGAAAGGGGCTTACGCCTCCTCTGCCATTAAATCTAGGGAAATAGCAGACTGAATAAATTTGGTGGTTTACAGCACTCCCCCTTGCACAGACAAATTCCCTATAACAAAAGCGTGCCAGCAGCTGTCTCTTCCTCTGTAACCTAGCGACATTAAAAAAAAATTGTTTCGGAGTTGTTGGCTATACTGAACAATGCAACTTTTGTTTTAAAAGAGCTCTGCACTGCCATCTTTAAAAGACACTTTTAAACTCGAGAACATGTATGTACAAATATCCTGAAAAGTTTTATTGCCTCATCATATCAGGGTGCTGACCTCTGGTAAATCTTATATAAAAAAAAGTATTTAAAACTGGGATTTGTTACCAGTCGCTCGTCATTGTATATAGAATTCTATAAATTGTATGCTTTGGGGATAATTTATTTAAAAAAAATAATTAAAAGTTTTAATTCCATGTCCTATCTGCCAGGTAGCTGCATTTGCTATTCGTTTCTGGAAAGGTACAGATTTCACTTTATGTTTAAAGGGATACCAGCAACAGTGATTAAGTGAAGTATTCTCTAGAACGTCAAATGTACAGTGTATTTTACAGATTGAAAGTTAACTTTCTTATTTGGAGAGACTTTATGAACGTTTTAGAATTGTATAAACGCCTATTTCTGAGCTGCCTTAAACCTTGTATTTTTGATAGAAGGCATGAAAAAGGCCTGTCTTTTAAATATGTATGGCTTTTTTGGATTTTCTAAACGTGTAAATTAGTGAAGAAAGAGCTTTAAATAATGCAGTGATATTGTTTTCCAAGGACACTTGAACTCTCAGCACCCGAAATGTGTGGGGAAGAGAGGCAGGGGATCAAACCACAAAAAACAAACCAAAAAACAGTTAAAAAAAAAAAAAAAAAAAAAACAACAACAACAAAAATCTGTAAATCTGTGTCTGCCTGTAATACTTCACATAGATGTAAATTACTGCTATTCTTACTTTAATGGATAATTACATGCAAGAAGTAAATACAGCTTTGAAAGTACTTTAAATGAGTGGTTGATTTTATAATGCGTTGGCATGGTAACTTGCCAGTCCCAGAAGAGTGTAAAGCAATTCAAGGACACTGCTCCTCTATATGTACGTGTAGAATTACTTGTGCACCGCGCTTCCTTCGTGCAGGCACGCTGCTCTCGCTGGCGCTTGTAGAAGTGCTCCTGGGCGTGCAAACAAGCGGTGGGAAATACATCACACGGAGGCGGCAAGCGTGTGGGACAAGGCGTCGCTTCGCGCGGGCAGGGGCGCACGCATCAAGGCAGCTGCAACAAAACGCAAAGTTTGCTATTCAGCCTGCCTTCTCCCACAACGAAGAATGCGAAAGTAAACACGCTGAAGGGATCAGCAATTACTAGATCTTGTAATACTGTGCTTAGGCGATGCTTTGCATCGTGCTGAAGCCTGGTTTGCTGCCAGAGCTACTGATCTACACTCAAACGCCCTTAGATAAATAATTACACTCTTAAGCTGTGTCGAGTGCTGATACACTTGACCTTGTAAATAGAAATGTTTGCAGTAGGAATAAACTCCAGCACTGGAAAATCTTTTAAACATTAACACAAAAGAGAGAGCTCAGTCCTCTAGGGATTTGAGTTTGGACTGCGTCAAGCTAGGCACTCACAAAAAAAAAAAAAAAAAGAAAGAAAGAAAAAAAAGGAAAGTTTATTTATCTTCTATTCATGGTGTTTATTTAAAGCTTTTCGTTTTAAAGGCTATAATTGGAAGGCAAGCCAGAAGTTTAAAGTCTACCACAAATAAACTTTGACTGAGGGGGCGACAGATTAGCAAGATAGTGTCTTTTTCATCTTACCAGATCTTGACAGAGCACAAGTCCACATCTGTCTGTTGTATAAATCAACAAAATTAGAAATCCCTGCTTCTGGGTTAGTTATTTCAATGGAGGATTATTTTATTATTTATTTAGGGTGTGAATTTGATTACGTTGCCCAGCAATAAATGCACATAAGTGCACACGCACACACATAAGCCAACCCCAAATAGTTGTGATGCCAAACAAGTGTATGACTATGGTGTGCGGCTATGATCTGAAGTTTGTTTTTAAAGTCATCTGAACGGTTGAGTAAGCTTATTGTTAAAACAAAGCTGGAAACTGTTTCTTCGGGAGGAGGACAGAGTAGTTGTGTGAGACTTGTAAATAGAGTCAGCTTTCTTTACAAAGTGCTGAGTTCACAATGGGGTAAGGATGATCTTAAATACTTCTTGCATACATGACCAGAAACATGCTTTTAGTTTGTCAACAGTTAGCACCCACTAGGGCTATTTAACTAGTTGTTGATGAAAAATTAAGTCCCAGCTAAAAGCCTTTATTTTTCTTCATTTAGGAGTAAAGACATTAACACTAGAAAAGGACTGATAATTAACTGCTACAATAAACTCAAGATTTAATTTTACAGGCTTCTGTCAAAAGCATCTGCCTGAAATAAATCAACACCAAGCACCACTAGGCAGGGAGGACTCATCTGTATGCTTCCTTCTCCAGAAAAAGTGGATTGTTTTAATTTAAGTTATTGTGCAATAAATACAGCTGAACTGATTCTTCCTATGAGCTCCTCTCCATAAGGAGGTAGCTCTGGGTTTTGCTGTATAGTCAGAGTCAGCACTATTTCCAGGATGAATGGCTGCCTGTGTTCCTATTTGTCCCAGCCAAATAAGCCTGTGCAGATGTTGATGTCCATCAAATCTGTATTTCTTTTTCTTGATTTTCAGACAAATGGAAACCTTGAAATGTCAAGTGATGTAACAAGAACAGATTTAAGCTAGGGAAAGACTTCACCTTTCCTGACAGAGGGAGATTTTTCACAGGAAAGCCAGTTCTCTCATTTGTCTGGCTATTTGGCAGTGCTCTCTGCTGAAGTCCTATCCAGGCTATCTCTTCCAGGGGGAGAAGGAACTCTGCATCATTTCATGTAAAATAATCCAGAAGGTTCTGATCCCTTTTCATTCCCAGTTACCAGGTTTGAATTCTTGGTGACAGTTTATTTGTCTTTGGAGGCACTTCAGTGACAAATGTTTAAGGGAGTGTGGGACAATGGTGGAGAACAAGGAGGCAGTTCATTGAACTGACAGTGACCATACAGTAAATAGAGGGAGATTCAAGCTTCACTGATCACCCAAGCGCACAGCAAATCTTTTGTATGGAATCACAATGGACATAACATAAGGTCTCTGTTTATTTTCAACAATATACACCAATGTATACAGACAGGCATACATACCTTTAAAATTGTTATGAAATAAAACCTTACAATGACCATAAGCAAAGCTCTGGTTTGGCCAAGTCTTTTCATGGTCTCATTGGAAAGCATGATGGATTTTACTTAGAATCTTCACTCCTCCTAAAAGCTGTTGGTCTACCAGATGTCTCACTGCAGACACGCCTCTATAGTGCATATCTTAGGGCTGCAAAGATGGCTGCAGGCAGCTTTACAGGTAGGGAACAAGACATTCCATCTCAATGTGATGCAAAACTCGTGCTTGGGTTTTGGTTTGTTTTTTTTTTTTTTTTCTTTTTGAGCGCACTGGAGTTTGAGAGTTACTCCAGAGGAGCCAAAGCGTACTTATTATAAGTAGTGGGACAAAAAATCATCACCATTTGAGTAATGGAAAATGCTGCTTCACTGACTGAGTTGCACAGTCTTCAAATGTCATCAAAAAGAATTTAGACCTTCAATTGATTTTGTTCCTGTCTGCAGTAATAACTTCACGCACTTCCACACTGCCTGTGGTAACACACCCATTGCAAGTCCTAGGGAAAGTAGGTAGTTGTGCCACAGAAAACATTTCAAATGGGAAGAGCAACGATTTCATGTCTGTGATACAGATTTGTAAGCAGTGAAGTTGAAAGTTACTGTATTTTACTTGAGGCATTGGCTGTGCTAGACAGTTGAAAAGGCTCACATTGACTGTCTGAATGACATAAGTAATGTGCTATTAGCATAAATACTTTCTAAGACATCCATTTAATCAATTTCTTAAATAACAGAATGATCTACTACAAAATAGTGGACTGTATACACTATATTTTGGCACAAAGATGGTCATTCTCCCACTAGTAACCAGGGGCTCTAAATAAATGATTTCAACAATGTTTTATTAAAGGAGGACAAGAGCCCTCGAGCTGCATTAATCGGGGAGAAGTCGAGTGGCACTTTTGTTATGGAAATGTTAAACACATAATAGTTCAGGCAAACAATGTGGAGCCACTTCATTCTCTCAGCCATGCTGACACCTCTTAAAGAGGAACTGCAGGGAAGGATGTGGGAAAGATTCACTTTCTGAGGAAGCTTTCAGCTAATATTTTGATATTTACCTCCAGAATTCAACCAGTGCAAATGTAACTGAAGGGCATAAAAATAAAACAATAAAGAGGGATGATTTATGCAGCTACTGCTAGTGATGAGAGTTTGATGCTCAAAATCAAAATA